ATAGTTATTTACTGCGTGCTAAACTGGAAGAATAGATCAAATGATAGCTTGGGCAAAAAAAATGAGATTCAATAGATAAATGGCAGCAACTATGGGAATGAAATTATAAATTAACAATGGCAACTGCATATAAAGAGAATTTGTATAAAATGTTTTAGATGGCACATTTCACCTGAAAGATTGGCAAAAATGTTTAAAGACAAATCAACAAGTGTTGGAAATGCCATCAAACGCCAGGGTCATATTATCACATGTGGTGGACATGTATAGAAGTGAAAAAATACTCGGCAAGAATTTGAATGTGGTTGAAGAAGATGACATAGCAACATATTGACTTAAAAGCTGAATTGTTCTTGTTCTTATTACCAGGGAAACATAGTAAATAAAAGGTATAGTTGATTATTTATGTAATAACTGCGGCTAGAATTGTATTTGCACAAAATTGGAAAGCTGAATAAATCCCTAAAGATGAATATGTGATTAAGAAAATATTAGGTTGTGCAGAAATGAGTAGATTAACACTAGCAATTAAAGGAAAGGAAGAATCTGATTAATATAATATTAATTTTTATTTTATTTTATTGGATTATTTTATCATTGGTTAGAAAATAAATATGGATAAAAAATATAAAATTAAATAATTGAGGAAGACAAGTGTTATAACATGAGATATGTTAAATTTTAATATTAAAATAAGAATAGATATATATATATAAAGAATTTGGTGGTAAGCTATAACTATTATGACATAAAAATGTGTACTCTGATGACACAAAGATTAATGAATGATGAAATGTTTGTTTTAAAAGGAAAAAAATAAAAAAAACTTTTGCTTGTCAGATTGGGAATGGGGTCCCTCAGAGCCTCCCCTCTTGATCTGTCCATTTTTGTGGGAGTTGTTACGAAACCCCCAACGTATAACAAAGGGGAGTTCCTTTGCTTTCAGCAGTTCCATGACTTCCCCTTCACAGTAGGACACACTCCACAAAGGAGTGTGGAGCAGGCAATGTGTGGCAGAGGAGGGGCTTGGGGCATACACACAGAAGAGAGCAGACCTTACAGCACTGCCTGTACCTGATCCTCCACTCAGCCGCCGGTCCTTCAGGTACGCCACTGAAAAAAAGGTGGAAGGTTGAACAAAAGGCAAGATAACTCTGGGAAAGGGGTGAGAGGACAGGCACCCTCAAGGTGTGGTGAGCCCTGGTCAAACTGGGCCACTGGAAAGAGGCAGCAGGAAACACCAAAGCACAGCTGCCCGCTTTAAGCACTCTGGGCATTCTGCATCTGGAGTGAGCTTCCTCTCTTATTTTCCAACAGTCAGCAGACATGTGCAAGGGGCCTGGCAGAAGGCGCCTCCCACCAAAGAAACCAGAGGGACAGCCCTTGGAAAAAGGAGTTGTAGGAGCTACTGAGAAACTGGGGCTCCCGAGACCCTCTCAAGGAAGCTGTGTAGGAGGCCAAGCCCAGCCGGGATGTGGGGGGGAGGGAGCATCCACGCTTCCTTTAAGCTTTCCAGCATGGGTAGTGGTGGGAGGGCCACTTGGCTCTTGTTACCCCACCCTCCTCAGTTTGCTTCAGTGTGGCTGCTGTGGGCACCAGTGGTCCTTGCTTAGCTGATGCAGCAGCCCTGAGCAGGGCCAGGCAACTGGGCTCTGGAGAAAGGTCACCCATTTTGGGGGTCTGCTTGAAAAAGGAGCAGCCTTGGCCCCATTTCCTGTCCCTTCAAAGCAAAGATCCTCCAAGTTGGATCAACCAGAGAAAGGGAGCCTAGCTGCAATTCAGGCAAATGGTGAGTGGCACTTAGGGCCACAGTTCTGATTCAGCAAGACTTGGCCCCCCTTGGGGCTAGTGATGAGCCCCTCTGCGGCCAGGCCAGTGGCTTCCTTTCCCACAGACTGATTCAAAGCCCAGGTGGCCTTACCGTAGCCCATTCCTTGCAGGAAGTACTTGAACGCCTCAGTCAGTTTCCCAGGCTGGTAAGAAAACAAAGATATATGTACGTATGTATGTATGTATGTATGTATGTATGTATGTATGTATGTATGTATGTATGTATGTATGTATGTTGCATTTGTGCTGATAAATAAAGGGAGACTAGTACAGATCTATTTCAAGCTATTTAGCTCTCATCAGCTAGCTGTCGTGATGGTCTCTTGTGATGAGCCGATTAGACAGAAAAAGGAAGCAGTATGCTTCCTCCCATATTTGGGCATACCAGGGGTTGTGACACTAGATAGATAGATAGATGATAGATAGATAGAGACATACATACATACATACATACATACATACATACATACATACATACATACATACGTATACACACAGTATATATACACTATACACACACACACACACACATACATATGGTGTCACAACCCCTGGTATACCCAAATACGGGAGGGAGCATACTGCTTCTCTTTTCTGTCTATAGGCTCACTCTGGGACATATATATATATATTTAGTGTCACAACCCCTGGTATACCCAAATACGGGAGGGAGCATACTGCTTCCTTTTTCTGTCTTATCGGCTCATCACAAGAGACCATCATGACAGAAAGC